ATGCTTTTCGTGAACTCTTTCTAGTATGTTATCTATACTATTTGTGTAATGTTTATTCAGGCGATATGAAGAAGCGTAATATATAAGCCTATAACAGTCAAGTCTAACACAGTCTACGCCGCGCACACGCCGCCATCAATCTTCGCCTAGTCGATCCATCGTGTCATCTTGGATCCTCTTCTTGTTCACTTGGCAGATCGACATCCTTCGCACTACTAGGCAATCAGCACGCGCCAGCACGCTTATGCCCTTTGGGCACAGGGAAGCAAGGCCTCTTGTCAACCCGCTGCAGGCATCAAGGACTTCGGTCATCAAGCATTCTTCGTTGCACGCATCTTCCCTTCAGAGGTGTTGTGGGCACCCACCGGAATCCCACGTTTTGCCGTGTCTCGTCGGATTCGCCGATGCGTACTACTCCACTGATCCGCCTGCTAGGGTCTGAGTCTTTTCTGATGGATTTTCTCGGACACGCCGAATTTGGGACGGGAGCTATCCCATACCTGGGGCCTAATTAAAAAATTATAGCTCAGCGCGGTTCCCAGTTCAACGGCTCCAACTTCTTCTGCAGCTAGGAGAACTCCCCATCCTCTCAGGAAGGCCTTTGCAAACTACATTTCCCTCAACGATTGTATCTGGTATTGCAGCCAGTGCACCAATCGTATCCTCGCCAAGGGGAGTCTGAAGCCAGACCTACAGAATCTGGGTCATCAAATTTGATGTTTATGCGATAGTCTGCAAACTAGAGTTAGCTTTCGGTCGGATACATAGATCCTTGAATCTAGAAGCAAATGCAGCTTCTAGATTTTGTAGATTTTGTGATTCGTAGATTCGGACGAGAGGACCATTTCTGATTATATCACAGAGAGCTCATAAAATCCTGGGGCGCTTGTTTCATATACATGCTCGCTATTCCGAGAACGGCAAAATGTAAATACTAATTTCGTTTCGATTTTCTTGCGAAAGATCCCGTGGCGTCGACGGGTTCTCATCGGAATCCTCCAGCTTTTGGAAGGCCCCTTTCTGTTGGTTGGTTTCCCTCCACATTTTATCCCTGGAATCCTCTTAAGGGCTAATCTTCATCACAGCTCAAGGATATTTGGCTTTCCAAGTTGTCCCACACACCTTTTTTTACCCTTTTCTAATTACCTTTTTCTGAGGAACGAGCATTCATGGATCCCAGAGAACTGCAAAATAGTCATCTTTCCAGCTGAGGCTGCGGGCGGCGTTTGACTGTCATCACTTCTTTCTCACACATTAAGCTTCCCCTCTGCTTTCGCACTGATCTCCTTTCAACCCCCCTGCAGGCTTTAATCTTAATTTGTTGCGTGAAACTGCAAAATATAGGTTACGCTATAGCCATTGAAGACGAAAATGGTTGTTCTTGTATTTCGCGCAAACTGCCGCCCTTCACGGGTGTTCTCCTACGGGCCGGATACCTATACGAAGTTATTACGTACAACCGGTCGTGTTCCATTTTTCCTCTTCAATTCAAATTTATATCGCTTCGTTTTCAACACTCAGGGCGGCTTCCGTACCGTGTCGACCCCACCTATAATACCCGTCTGTACGGGACCCGCCCCACAGTTCGTTACGCGTGCCTCCACCGTCCCCACTCATCTCAGCAGGGACTTTTCAAACAATTTTCCCAGGTGTTGCTCTTTCGGAATTTGCCTCTAACGAGGGAGGTCTTTCAGGTGTACCCGCGCTTTCTCAAAACGGTTTTTTGCATGATGTAGAGGGATGTGCGTGGATTACAGAACTGTAGTCCATTTCCGCTAAATGGCTCTCTGAATGCCAAAAAAGGAGTGAAAATAATTTCGTCGGATAGTGCAATTTTTGCGCACTCACGTGTGGTTTGTTTCAATCATGGCGTGGACTGCTTGCATAACGAAGGGTTCTCGCAAGCTCTGTATCGAAAGCATCGCTAAGTTTGGCCAAAATTGGAAAGTTACCGTAGTGATGTCATGTTATGTACTGAAGAGCGTGAAGAAGTTTCATGAGTGCATTCGGCAACTCAGCAGCCGGCAGCGTCGGTGGTGTAGTGGATAGCGATATGGATTTCAATTGGCACGATCGGATGGGGTTGCTGGTTCGGATCCTCGAGGTGCTCGATTTTTGCGTTTCTTGTTGGCACCACCAGATCTCGATCTCGAGGCTCCAAGTTGCATAAATGCCATAATAGAAGCATATTCATGAGTTAAAACCATAAGTGTCCACAGGAGGACAGGTTTCCACTGAAAATTGTTGAGAAGAAGGTGGGTCACATTGGCACGTATTGTGCCCGCACATCACAAAGAATGTGCGTATTGTAATCATGCAATTGACCCAGTGGAAACCTGTCCTCCTGTGGACACTTATGGTTTTAACTCATGAATATTGCTTCTATTATGGCATTTATGCAACTTGGAGCCTCGAGATCGAGATCTGGAGGTGTCAACAAGAAACGCAAAAATTTGAGCACCTCGAGGATCCGAACCAGCAACCTCGTCCAACCGTGCCAATTGAAATCCATATCGCTATCCACTACACCACCGACGCTGCCGGATACTGAGTTGCCAAATGCACTCATGAAACTTCTTCACGCTCTTCAGTACATAACATGACATCACTACGGTAACTTTCCAATTTTGGCCAAACTTAGCGATGTTTTCGATACAGAGCTTGCGAGAACCCTTCGTTATGCAAGCAGTCCACGCCATGATTGAAATAAACCACGGTGAGTGCGTAAAAATTGCATTATCTGACGAAATTTTTTCACTCCTTTTTGGCATTCAAAGAGCCATTTAGCGGAAATGGACTACAGTTCTGTAATGCACGCACATCCCTCTACATCATGCAAAAAACCGTTTTGAGAAAGCGCGGGGTACACTTGAAAGACCTCCCCTTGTTAGAAGTCGCCAAACTGCGAGACACAGTAGGCGACGGTAGCGAAATGCGCTGCATTTGGGGCGAACAGGTGCTGCTAGGGTTTAATTGCAACACGTGAGTGGCAAGGCTACTATGCACTCGAGAATTTTGGACAGGAGGCGAAACACGCGAAGGAACGACCAAAAGAAACCGGAAACGGCGCAACGCAATGTAATCATGTCTATAGAGTATTCAGTTTTCGGTAGCGCTGCTAGGCGCAGAACTCTAGATTGCATAATGCAGGATCGAGAGCCAAGGGAAAAGCCAACCCAAAAACGCGTCATTGAGCACGGACATGTCTTTCATGCAGATGGAAAGAGGAGAAGGAGCATTTTGATCAGATTTCTAAAGCTCAGTCTTTGATGCAACATTTTATGGTCTTCCTAAATCAGGTGGTTTGTCGTTTGAAGGCGCGCTGGTAAGCTGATTTCACAAACTTCAGAGAGAGCGGTCTTGTTCATAAGTGACTATTTTTCCTTGTTCATAACGTTCATAACTGACTGTTTTCCACCAAAGAGGTGTTTTCAGAGGCACCAACTTGCACGTTTGTTTTCAGAAGCCTCCTGACAAGCCTTCACAGCAGACGACTGGAAGCGCAAATCGCGTCGAACTGGAATGGGATCTGCCCCTGTAACCGACGAGAATTCGTGAGCGGCTTCGCTTGCTTACTGCTTCCATGTGGCTTTACCAGAAATATATTTTCAAGAAAATAACGAATAATCGAGAAAATAATTGCTTTTGTAGTAATAATTTCGCACTAGTTTAGAAGCACCCAGGCCCAGCGTGGGACCTCGCTGCTGGCGGAGGCCCAGCGTGGGGACCTGGCTGCTGACAAAGAAAGGCCGTCGGTTCGCCATGTCCATTAGCATTGGTTCAGAAGCACCCAGGCCCAGCGTGGGCACCCCTGCCTCGACCACGCGCGTGGTCTTGACAGCTCTGATATTTCTACAATTCGCATTCCAGACATACCCTGCCCCGAGGGCGCTGCTTGATTTTCTTATTGAAAATTCCTTCCAGATCAAGTTCCCGTGCTTGGAAATTTAATTAATAAATCTTCTAGGCGTACGCTATCTTCCCCTAGGTGATGCGCCTCTCTTCTCCGATGGTGCCCAACGGTTTATGGAGCAGGATTGCGACACGGGATTCTATATGGTTTCTGCTTTTTACCCGGATCTAGAACTTCAAAGAAGTGGGGCACCCTTGGTGTTATCCATCAGCCTGCAATTTGGAGCTGACCTCCATGGGCAACGCCAAGCGTTAGTAAGTGAATGCAATCTTGTAATGATGTAATCAAATAAGTAAGAGGAGTAATTCTTTTTCGTAGACATGGCTAAGCATTCTAACACGTTTTGGGTTGGAAGTCAGAACCACTTCCGCTGGCTGTGTTTGACCTTACAACTCCGCTCGAGAATCGTTTAGCTGATTCGGTGAGGAATTTCGGTGGGACCCGAACAGCAGAATTGATCACTGAGCATAAAGGGGAGGGATGTCATCACAAAGAGCTTAACAAAGAGATCCTTCAGGACATGTAGCGCTTTTCAAAATGGTTTTTTGCATGCTGCAGGGGCTCATGCGAGCAATGCAGAACCATGATCCATTTTTCCTGATTGCCTCGCAGTGTGAAAACAGTTCAAATCGAGCTCATGGACCTGAGTACGCTGGACACACTGAATTAGCAAGCCACACAATAGAGTATTAAAGCGACTATAAACTCAATATTTCCTTTCTTCAAACTTCACCTACACACCGTCCGCAAATCGGCATTCAAGACAAAACAGAATCCCCCAACTGACATGCACATCCCTGGAAGATCACTCTTCATCCACACAAACCAATACAACAGTAGAAAACATTTATTCAAGCAAGAAATACTTCAATGTGTTTGTATTCGTTCACGTTTCAATTGTGGCCCTAAAGAGGGCCGTTGGGTTAGTTTTACAAGTGTTTCGTGACGAGAGCTGCTTCTCATCCTCCAAAACCGTAGAGAGAACATCCTTGGCGTTTGCTACTGAATTCAGCTATTGAATAACAAGCTTGATAAACAGAAACAAGTTCTGATCTGCTACTTTGTTTGACGCAAAACTGAAACTAACCATGTACGATCCCATAATATAGGCTCCATTGACACGGTTTCGATCATCGTCATCAGTGTAGACCACGATTTTTCGTTTGCGTTGAGCCTAAAATTCAAAAAATTTAGTAGGTCAACCATCAGGAATACATATGAAAGAAAGTGTAATTCATGGGTCCTCAGGGCGGAAGCGAAATACTAAAAACCAGCGCAATATTGCGTTCTGTAATTAACTTATGAGTATTTATATTCAACGCTTATTCACTCCACAAAAATTTTACAGATAATATGGATGATCTAAACACCAGCTTCGATCAACTTATTCTGGAAAGCGACGACGAAGACCAGGATTATTCCGGTGTTCCAGAAGCACCGTTGGCAGCTGTCGAAAGTAGCAGTGATGACGATTCAGACTTCGAAG